GCCTGTATAGTTTATCTCAGCTTAAACGCTCTGGCCTAGGTACCCGTGGGCTAGTTCAGTTTTTCTGCACTTGCTTTCGCCCTATCACGGAGTATACATGTCCTGTCTTTCGCGACAGCCTTCCTGCGTACCTCTCCAATGAACCTGAGCGCGTAGAAAAACGGGCTATGCGCATTATTTTCCCTTTCTGCTCGTGCAATGAGTCTTTGGTTCAATAAAAAGTAATTAAACTTTCAGACCGCCGCCAGAAACTTGTGGACAAACCATTTAAGGAAGTTTTACAGAGCAAGCAGAATAAGCTCCACGGCCTTCTCCCTGCTCTCTAAGTCGAACCTCAGAAACACACGGAAATCTAGGCCAGTTTTCAAGACGAACAGATTCCGTATTAATTTTATTACGTCCAACGCCCTCGAAGCTTAAACTGCGCTCCCGATCTATAGTTTTACAAGTTTCGATTGCTTTTTATCATGTCGATTTCGTTTTTTTTATCTTTTATTTTTTTTAACAAATCACAATTTTATTGTAGTGTATTCATGTACTGTTTGTCCGATCGGTTATTAGTTTCTTTCGTTTTTCTTCATAGATTAGCTTATTAGTGGTAATCATAATTATTTGTGAATAATCGCCTAATTCAACCTCCTTGTTGCAATATGATTATAAATAAACAATCTATCTATCTATCTATCTATCTATGGACAGCCAATAAGGAAGTCATTTTCGGGATAAAGGATTAGTCTAGGAATAGCGCTTTATACTATTACTAAAAATAGGTTTTGTCACCTTAGACCCCCCGCGTGACTCAGACAAACTTTGCTTTCTACTCCAAGGCTTTGTATGGGAAACATACGTTTCCGACATGAAAACTGTTCATATAATTCGCAGTTAGCGTTTTTAAAATGTTTTTTGAGCATAATTCCAATATATAAAAGGCCCTACTGCTATTGGGAGCAAAACCTGGTCCAGTAACTCAAATAAATGGTTAAAATCAGAAAATAAAGCGACTCGATCAAAGAAGGCTACTGAAATCGGATCCCTAGCTCTGTGTCTAAGGGGTCTTAGGCAGAAAGCACCGCTATGCACTGAAACATGACATAACATTATTGGCTGTGTAATACTCCAAAACCGAAATTGCTAAAGAGAAAATCGAGTTGGGATGTGCTTCTCGCAGGCCTGTGACAGAATATCTACGGTGAAAAGCACACCAACATTAGCACAAACCGGAAATTGTATAAGTTTGTTCTGTTGTTGTGCGGCCAGGTAGACCATATGAATCCGCGACGAATACTTTAGTACTTTATATCCCGTAGTACTATAGCGTAACATAAGCACTCGAAAAAAAATTGAGCAACCTTTGCCTATAAAATTAACCAAATGCAGCGTTTCACGCATAGCTATGAAGCCCTGTTCTCCACACATTTTAACATAATTTTACCCACAGCAAATATGACGCCGCATAAGAAATAAAACCACTCATCTGTACAGTTTTTTCCACGTTTAACGCTGTCTTGGCACGAGTTGATTATTTTCAGGATATTTATTATTGAAACCAAGGTGGATTTTGTTTCTTTTAACGATAAACATCTTCAAAGACGACGAAAATTTGTTACCGAACGTGACTTTCCCATACTAAACTCTTACACTGGTCAGGTTTAATGTCTGAGTCACAGCAGGGACCAGAAATTTGTGACGTCATTAGTAGAAAGCGCTATTACAAGAATTTTGTCGCCAACCGAGTCTCGGAGATTCTAGGCTCAGACAGTGGTGACACGCTCCAACTAATTTTAATGGTGCAAATGTGGTGACTCCAGTGCCACACTCGAAGGTGAGAAGTGAGGATCGCTGGTTATTGCACCTGAGTTCCTGTATGAACATAAAGCTGAATGGTCTCAAAGAAAATCCATAGTGTATAAGGAGCGTTCAGAAGACTGTCTTGCTCAGATAGTCAAAGCTTTGTCTTAGAGGTTTCACAATCATTGATGAATCCGACCGAAGTACACCAGGCAAACCTTTGGGTGATGAGAGTTGGAGCGAAGTTATATTGACGCCAGGTAAAATAGACATAGCTAGTTGGAAAGCTGGGAGGACAACTATTACCTCTGAGGAGATAGCGTTTAGTCCCAGGAACCGTTAAGAGACTTTCTTAGAACCTGGTGAAAGTGTTCTGGAGGGGCTGGAGAGAATAGTTTTTGGCAATACTTAACACCCGAAGGAAATGGAGACCGGCGAAGGAGAGTTTAAAAAGTCCAGAGTTTGCGCTCTTTGTGATCAGAATGCTCCACGTGGTCAATGGCGTCTGGGTCGAATGGTAGAAGTTTCCCAGGCCAGGATGGACAGGTGCGTGTTTTCCAAGTGAGCACAAGGGGTAAGTAGAATGTCCCCCAATGAAACGACTGCACCCGTTGAACTTCGCTGGTCAGCCAGAGTATGTGACATTAAGAGAAGATATGGACAGGCGATCAACTAGAACTTGTTTGTTGTTTGTAAATGCCAGAAGCTAGTCCCGGGAACTGGAACAAGTCGAATAAAGAATTTTGTGAGCACATGGAAAAATGGCTGTAATGTTTCTCACGCTTAAGAATATATCTACAGCTCAGGGATTAGTATTTCCTTCTCTATCGGTCCATTGTATTGGAAATAATGAAGCTTTCTATTTTCTTATAAGTGTAGTGGGAGACCGGTAAATAACTTTTTTCGAACTTTTTGGGCTAATGCTTAGTCCTTTCCTGGTGATAACGATCCTAATATATAGATTTAGCCAGGGCTAAAAGCGAAGCTCCCATTAATAAATTTATAATTTGAATCAAACAATAAACTTGTAATCCACAAATCAGTTAACTTAAGGGCACATTCATGTGACTTTTGAGGGAAAGGATAACTTTAATGCATCAGTCAATTCCACCTGCGCCAAACCTCCCGGGCTACTGCGAGGGATTTGCCCGCCTTGTCAGTCCCGTGGGTGGGGCATTTGTAAATTTTTCACTGCCGGGGGGCCGGGCATTTGCCAACCCCGGGGCCATTCCTGAGCTTTCAAACACGCACGCAGTTTCCTATCAGAATGTAACTACAGAGAGGGTTTTACTGGAAAAAAAAAAAGCAAGATTGGCTCATCTGTCAAGGACAGGAATAAATTGAAGAGGGTTGTAAACGTATGTTCTCGATTTTATGCTTGCATTATCAAGGCAAAATTATTACATAGCGAAATTGGAGCTATCGATGTGAATCAACGTTTTTTGGTTATTGAATCAAATTTCTGTTGATATTATTTAAAGAACATTCTTTCATATTAATAAAACTATTCATAACATATAACTCTACAGCGCTCTATTAATTTAATGTCAATAATTTTATATTAATACTAAAACCAAAAACTGGTGCATGACGACACGACGCGTCGCCGTTAGAGTCGTTAGAATCCTAGCGCTATTACAAAGGAAGACGTTGATTGAAACAAAAAATCGCACATTAAAATGCTTAAAATGGAACTAGGCGCAGGTGGAATTGATTGATTTTGAATCCGAGTCCGAGGTCAGTTTGAAATCAAAATCTTAACAGTGTGGGGCCATAGTAAAATAAACACAACAGATTTCATATGAATCATTGGAAAAAAATAAACTTGAGCCTGCCATCAATTGAAACTGGTAATTTGTCAGCGGATAACTTCAAAAAAGTGCTAGACCTTGATGGGTCGACACTTGAGCCCGCGGTACGGTCAGGTGATACTGGTCAGCGGATATCCTGTTTTGATAGCTGTCAATTGATCACATTATTGGTGTGCAATTAGTTTTCTCTTGGGCTCCCAAACTAGCTAGAACGTGTGAGAGTAAACATTGGTTTCCCTGTGGTGCGGACGGACGGTCGGCGTACGGTCACGTGATTGCCAAATTTTCTCGGATGAGTAGATTACCACATTTCCTTAGCTATGGGGCTCCGTCCACGCGCGCGCTTCGCTATCACACAAGCTTAAGTTCTGATTTTAAATTTATTATGTTTTAATTTTTCCTGATGATATTTAATCATAGGTTTCCAGGTGTAACAACAGGGCTTACGTTCAAAGCGTTTGATTTGTGATCAATAACGATTTCGTCTAAACCAAATGCCTTTCACGGTTTAAGGCTTGATAAAGTGGCTTCCAACACTTCCGTAGCTGAAAGCTTTTTGAAACCAAGTCCTTTGCTGCGTTTATTACCATTCGATTTGAATTTCCTGTTTGTTACCAATTTCCCATTTAAAAGGAGTTGATGAGATACTTTACCTTCATTGACTGAAGGCTTAAAAGAAGGGTGGAAAGAAATGTTCTTGACTACTTGGAAGGGTCTACATAATTTTTTTCCACTCATGTTAACTTGCGTTCCCCATCACTTTTCTAATAATGCTTCTCTACCTCGGTCCCTTCTTGCCAGTTGCAATGGATTGCGCCATTACCTTTTTTTTTTGTTTTTTAAATAATTTATTTACTAAACATCATTTAACATAACATTACAATAAACTTTACAATGCAGGGCGGCAAATAAAAAGGAGGCGAAACAGTAAAATAAATAAATAAACAAACAAGCAAAATAAAGCGAAATACGAAGGTTCAACAGATTAACGACAACAAGCAGAACAAATAGAAAAATGTTTGCTAAATTACTATAAATCCAACACTAATCAGAAATGCACAGTGTGGTCCACTTATTTCTTATTCATTTGTAATTATTCGTCTTTTTTTTAAACTAGACAGCCAAAGCATTTGAGAAATTTTCCGAGCTCATGACAATCAATAAAGTAACTTTAATGACCTAATAACAGGTACTTTGTTACTACTTAGTACTGTGTTTACTTTATTGCGAGAGAGTCAACATCAGTGATGTGTACAGTACCGCAGATGAGCAAAGAACAGATGAGGGCCAGAATGATTAGCAGCACTCATGTAAAGCTTTTGCATTTGCCGGCAAGCAATTATTATTGTTCTCAAACTCAAGAACAGTAAAAAAAAAAAATCCACTTTTTTTCTTTTGCAGATGTCAGTGCAAGGAAGATTTTTCCTTGGATTAATTTTGGTGACAGTGTGGACAGTTGAAGGTAAGTAAAATTATGATTCGTTTGTGTTGTTCTCTCGTAAGGTTTTTTTTGTAGTCATATTAAAGCAGCTTTGGTCTAGAACAAAATAATTCATTTGTATGGCCAATCACATTATTTTGAGTGCAGTTGATAATAAATTTGCACCAATTAATTTGTCGTTGACAAGCAAAATGTTGGGGATAAATTGAGTCGCTTTTAGCCAATCGAAATGCAGTGTGTGCTTATCTTCTTGTAGCATGATATACATCAGCCGCTACCATAAGATGTCTGGGAAATCTATCAAACAAACCCGTATTTCATCAGTATTAGATCTTTACGTATTACCAACCTTTTTTATTGTTTCCTTCAAAAAGTTGTAAGATAATCTAGGACGGGTTACTCCGTCCTTTCAGTCAGGTCCAATTACTAAATAGCGAGTCTTTCCTTGCTAGCGTTCCTTTCAGAACCTTGCCGTAAACCAAACAAGCTTCTTAATTAAGCACAACTGAATCAATCCAAAGCTTCATTAATCATTTAAATAACAGTTAGTTAATTCCCCTTATTCTAAAAACGCAACGTCGACAAATGTTAAGTTTTCAACTATAACTATGAGCGGGGAGTTTGTTCTCAACGGTTGGGTTTGATTGGCTCTTTGTGAGTCTCTATGTTTGTCAACCAATCAAAATGCAACTGATTTCCTTTGTTTTTCTGCATTGGTTTACCTCGTTGCCAACGGCGCTACTTTTTAAAGAACTGAAACTCAGACAAACAAAATGAAATAATTATTAACGAATTCCTCTCGTTTGTTTGGCTTTTGTCATAAACATATATTACTTTTGACTCATTAAAATAACAAAAGTGACAAAAGTCAAACAAATGTTGCCAATTAATTACTCTGAAGTCTTTTTAGCGATCTGTTTATCATGAATGGTCACTATTAACGGAGCTTACGCTTACAAAAAAATACCTAAATACACGATCGATCATGACATGACTTTATTGCAAGTGATCATCAGCCGATATAATATATAAAAAAAAAAAATCAATTCTCATCTGATGCTACAGAACCGAAGACAATTTTCATTTGTAAAAAGATTTTGAGCGTCTCAAGTTAGCCTGTCAAGAGAGTAAAATTTGTGGGAGTTTCAACATTTGATTTTCGTACATTTATTTACAGTTGTTCAACCGTGTTTGTTTTCTGTTAATGGCTCCAGTGGGTTCATCAGCTCCAGTGGAGTTAAGTACTACGACCATACATGTACATGGATCATCACTGTACCATCTAACCACACCGTCAAACTGAAATTTACGATATTTCGTCTCTCTAGTGATCGATGGCTACCTAGTGGAATCTGGGTTGGTCAAGCTAAGATCCACGTCCATGACGGAAAAAGGAAAAGTGATACCGTACTGGGAGTTTTTACTGGGGAAAGACAGCCCTTCATCATACAAGCAAGTGGTCGGTTCATGATGTTCACTTTACAAAAAGATTATTTCGCCCCTTGTAACTTTAAGGGAACTTTTATAAGTTCAAGAAAAGGTAAGTGGAAGTAATTAGATATTAATAAGAGAATGAGAACTGCCTAAGAATGCTAATTAGCTCCTCATACTCTTGGACGTCGCAACTGATGTGGAATAACTGAATGCGTCTCAAAAGCGATGACAATTTTTCATACCTTCAAGTAAATTAATAAATTAAAACTATATTAAAAATGTTCTTCTGATTGTGACAATTAAAGCCTGTCACCGTTCAATACTGCATAAAGAGGAAAGCTTAACGAAAGAAAAACTGCAAAACAGAGGAATATTTTACAGAGCAGTCAGTGATAAAGATAAATGTATGAATTTTACACTCTAAGGAAACGTTTAAAAGAATACTTTGGTTACGAAGTTTTCTTTCAAATTTTGAAACTACTCCTTTAACACATTTCCTTTTACTTTTCCCGCGGTAGCTCAATTTAAATCAAGTGATAAAGAGGTAATGTAGTTTGTGCTTGCTATGTAACGATATAGTCCATCAGCTAGGGGGGTTGTATGGCTCACTTAAGGGGAACAAACAAAACATGTATAATCGAAATCTTTGAGTAAAAAGCATCACAAAAATGCATGATAGCAAGGATAGAGCGGTAGCTTTCACTTTGCAAATCGAATTTTAAATTTGCCACTTAAACCTTTATTTTGGTCGCCATCTTGGATTTATAAACAAACCTTTGATTCCCTCTTAATTTAAACACAAGATTCTTTTAAAGAAGATTTGAACTACTAGGTATCTGAGATATTATTTTAGCATTGTTAAGAGTTAGTTAAAATTTGATGACGTCATATATGACGTCACAGTGACCGCCATTTTACTTTTAAAATTAGCCTATTCAACTGATATCTCAATCATCTAAATAAGAAAATTGCCATTAACATTAATTAAACATAGCAAGGTCTTCTTTTTCACATTACAAACCTGTTTTGTGCTGCAATGGGCAAATTTGACTTTCTTATGAGGAAAAAGGCCAATTCGAAAAAAATTGGTAACTTTCTTTAACCCTTTGGTGACGGCCGGCGAGTTGCGAAAAAACCGCATTTTTCCCAAATTCCTCTTGTATGGATTGGCTTTCGGCTAATTAGCATGGCTAAAAGAATGGCTAAAAATGATTTTTACATCAAAAAAGGCATATTTTCCGACTAATCGGACGTAATTAAACGGCTTTTTTGTTTTTCACGCATGCGCACAGGCCAAAATTTTGACTTTATTTGCGAATCTATTTCGATGTCTCTCTATCGCTCTGTTTTTTTTTTTTTTTGCCTTTCTTGTTTATTAGCAGTTTGCCCACTTTATCGTCTTTTTTGCGTGGAATTGTGGCTGGCCAACTTTTTAGGAAAGAGAAAAATTTATTCTTCAAAGAGTAGCAGATAAACAGCGACATTGGTAGTGGAATTTTCCTCAAAATGTTACCTTTTTTGTGAGTGTAACGTTGTCAGGATTAGTCAGAATATCCAAAACGAGATATCGCTGGATACCTTTTGTGACGTTGTTGCTTACTAATTTATTAACTTTAACTAAAGCTAAATGGGGCTACGAGGGAAAACATGCATAATCAGGCATCGTTCGATATGAAGTGATAATGACCAAGGCAGTCGTCGAAGGTTTTAGGCCATCGAAATCACAATGCTAGAAGAATATGTTTAGAGCTATTGTAACTTCGTTTTGTACGGCAAGTAAAACATACCTCTACCAATAAGGCAATAAGGCACAAATAAAAGCAGATAACTTGCTCGGGGGAGGTGGCAAGGGTGGTGGGTGCACTAAAGGGAAGTCTTGGCAGAGCTGTGCCGCCGAGACCTTCAAACCTCGACGCTGTTTAAGATTCTGGCATTGTTTTTTTTTGTTTCACATAAAGAATCAGATAGTTTTTCAAACTAACATCACGGAAATAGATACATTGGAAAAAAATTATTGGTATTGCAAATGTAAACTGCTTATCGAAAGCCTTCACAGTCTTTCTAAGGCTTCTAGCCTAAAAAGACACTGTTCAAGACGCTTTTAAGCGAATTTACTATTAAAATAGAATTTTACCATTAAAAGAATAAAATAAATAATTAGAATTCTACTATTAAAATAGTAAAATTCTACACCCTGTTTAATGCTCAAGACCTTGTGTTCAACAGCATACACCTGACCTGTATAAGCCAAATAAGGGAGTGCCCCTCCCCCCCACCTCCTCGAAACGTGCTCCAGAACTTGTTTTAGAACAAAAGCCCTATGATCCCATAATTGACATCATTTGGATAACACCATTCTTCACTGCCGACATTCGCGTTCGGAAAATTTAACATAAATATAGATTCAAATGTACAGCATTTTCTGCTCTAACATAATAAGCTGAAGAAGAGTTCATACGCATGAGTTGCAACTACTCTACCGTAACGTGCCAACGAGGGGAGCAGAACGATGGTTTCTCTTCACATTGAGGCTTGATAATTGCTCCTCTAAGTCGAAAAGATGACTCGCATGGCGGCAGATACTCCAGCTTGACCTTCCAGCCTTAAGCTGGGGACGAATCTCGTAGCAGCGCACTATGCCACTTCTTTCCGTACAGTTCACATACGCGTGCTTCCGTATGTTGACTTTAAAGTTCTCATTGGATACTGATCACTCTTTCCCGCGATACTCGCCATAACTCGGACGTACCCTCCATTGGTTGGAGAAGCTGGCCTGCTTTCCACTTCCCTTTACCAAAGAAGGCAGAGATGTTATCACAGCCTGTGTTCGAGTTTACACCGATAAGGGTTCCTCATGAAGCAGTGGTTAAAAGTTGCATAGAGTGTTCGCGCCTCTTCCCTTTTTCATGTAGCACCTTTTCAAAGTCAAGTGTTTGCTATGAGCAAGCAGTAGGACAAAGACACCAGTCTCAGTGTCAGAGTATCAGAGTGCATGCCGAAAATACAGAACAATACGCGTATCAGCCTCTTCGTCACGGAACTGTAGCTCAGGAACTGGGTCTCTGGTCCCCATGTGTCTGCCTCTAGTCGCCCGACTGGCCTTCAGTTAATACACGGGGAGTTCATGATCCAGTTGCCGAGTCTGCTTCTAAATGCTTCAGTTTTGCCCTGTCGGGCACAAGGAATTTGACGATTTCAGTTTACTTGTGTTGGAACTGAGCTCGTTCTATGACTTCACAGTATAGTGCATCGCAGTAAATCCCTGTATTGTACACTGTCAGCGGTAGACATAATTTTCAGTCTTTTTTGATCAACACCCCGCACTATATGGGGCGCCAAATGTAAAAATATTATTTAGGCAATATTTTTCTAATTTTTGTGCTATTTAGCAAATAGCACAACAATTGTCTTGCGATTTGTAAATAACGCTTTCCAAGACATTTGCGATATGTTAATCACAGGTATAGAACTTTACGCTGCTTAGCGATTTATAAATTGCAAGATTTCAAACTTTGCAAATTATAAATCGCAAGATACTTTACTTTGCGATTTATAAATCGCAAGCTACCTTACTTTGTGATTTATAAATGACAAGTTTCTAACTTTGCAATTTATAAATCGCAAGATACTTTACTTTGCGATTTATAAATCGCAAGGTGTCTGACTGTGCAATTTATAAATTGCAAGATACTTTACTTTGCGATTTATAAATCGCAAGATGTCGGACTTTGCAATTTATAAATCGCAAGATGTACGACTTTGCAATTTATAAATCGCAAGGTGTTGCACTTTGCAATTTATAAATCGCAAGATGTCTGACTTTGCAATTTATACATGGCAAATGTGCAATTTATAAATCTCAACTGTGTGTTTTAAGAATCTCGAATGTGCGATTTATAAATCGCATCCCTTATCGCAATTTGTACATCGCAAATGTGCGATTTAAACCGCAAGCCGAAGAAGATTGCTACTGCGGGCTCGTACTCTATTAAAAGTTTGGCGGGAAAATGCACGGGAAGGTCATTCTTGTTTTCAACAATGGCGGACGATCTTGCAAGAAGACTGTCATCTGCCGTTTCCAAAGCAATATCTGAGGCCCTCAATGCTGATTTAAATCAGGTAAGCTAATGGCCCTCATCTTATCTTTGAGGTTAAAAGTTCAATTTCTGAGCTTCTAAATAATTGTGCATTTTGGTCATGTTTTCGGTTTGCAGAGTTCGAGTGGTTCTTCGTCTTCTTCTGCATCTACTGCCACGTCATCCGCTCCACCTCAAGTATGTGTAATTTTTAGTTTTATTTCCCACAGATTAATCAATAGTTGGTGATCAAGGTTTAGTTGTTCGCGTGTAGTCGTCTCAAAAGATCTTCATGCAGCAGTCTAGGTACCCTCGATAATTACATGACTTGGAAAAAGAGACTTCATTGAACCGTTTAGTTTTAGATAGAAATGTGATATTCAGCATCTTTCCATTTTCGTTTATTCATGTATTGTTTCCCTTTAATATGTCGCCCAAAACATGACTTTTTGCTTGCGGTAGCCGAAACTGAAAAAACAAATAGTGTATAACAGTTTTGCGCAGGACCTACAATAGTCTTAACACTGTCTTAAAGATTATAATTTATTTCACTAGTCAGAGCTATCTACACCAGTGAAAGAGCTGCCAATAATTAATGACAGTAACTGATCAGCAATTTCCCATATCGTATTGCGTAGAATTCTTCCACGAATTGTTAAATCATACAATAATGAAAAACTCTCGATGCTTTAGCTAGAGTTAGAACATTGATCTTCCGACTAATCAAGTAATGGAAACATTCTCCTAAAATGCGCACGCTTGCTTTTTAGAACTCGTAGCTTGTTGTCTCCCTGTTAATGCATTGTCTAGTAGATGCATCATTTATTGAACTGATAAGAGGAAGGGTAACCCAAGCCGTCTCGTTATCAGTATGAACAATCATTCTTGACCTTGTAAATTGTGCTTTTTGTATCGTTTGATGATGACGGTAAGGGGTAAGGGTCAGGTGAGGCCGGAGGAAAATTAGGGGGGACATCGAAAAATGAGGAGGGGAAGTATGGAAAAAAATAAACTTGTTTTTAAATCTTATATTTCATCAGATTATACTCATCAAAGAAATAAACATGTTACAATGCCTTATACTCATATGAACTTACCTCATAACAAAATGTAAACTATGAGATTAGAAGTTATATGACAGGTGGCACAAGAAAGTGATCTATCAATGTAACAACGATTTTTGCCCCTTATGTTATTTCTTACCTCCAGAACCTATAGAATGCTAAGACTGCACCCTCTTCTATATGCATGGAAATAGTTATTCTCTAATAAGCACTTCAGGCGCTCATAAAGCTTTCTGGGAGTCAGGGTTTTCGTATTTAATGCTGTAAGTCCTGCCTTTCATATTTTAGATGGATTGGGAACTGAAACGATAGAGGAGTTTCGGGTGGCGGGCTCTGAAATATCTGAAGAAAATTGGGTGGGTTCTTAACAAAAATACAGTTCATTTTTCTCCAGCCCACTCCTATGTTCAGTTAATGAATGGTCCCTAAATAGAAAGGATGAAAACCGTTTGTTCACTGAACATGCCTCTTCTGTCCCTTCCTGCCTCAAAGCACTGGCAGGCTCTTTATGACCCCCTTTAACTAACTAATCCATCACAAAGAGCAAATGTCATTACTCAGTACTTATATCCTACAATCGAATAGTAACCATGTGTCCTCCATTCCAGGCTCTCGCTTCTCGTTTCCCTTTGCCATCTGCTGTCGCCAGATTCCAACCTCCCGCGGCCAAACGGAAGAGAGTGGCAGCCTCGGCGAGACCGAAAATGTTTTTCAAAACTGCGATTTGTCTACCACCTGTCAAAAAGATATTGGAGCCTATTCCAATACCAAGAGGAGAACAGCGAGCACACCTGCAAGAAGCAGGGTTGGTCGGGAAAGTGTGCTTAAATTCGACCTGGAAAGCTCACGAAGTTGAATCGGAGATCGGGAGCCTTTTTGCTCCCTCTTTTGGACTTTATAAAGACGACCCCTTTCCGTTCGTCTATCTTAGGTAGGGAACGCTTAAAGTGTACTTAGTTAGGAAGGCTAGTGAGAATTAATGTCAATGGGCGTCACCCGCTTTTCCCTTTTGGAGTGTATAATGAATCAAAACTGTATTTACTTTGGTTCTTCTATAGTACAATGCCAGGGACGAAGAAACTTTGTATTCCAAAAACGTCTTCATCTTTCGTGTGGGACGCTGGGGAAGTTCTCTCTGTGTGTTCCAGGGACAGTTTGTACATCATGGCAAAAATGGAACCCCTGCGGTCATTGAAACGAAATTGCTCAATGGTACGTAGCAGCTGTATTAGTATCAAATGCAGTTTAGAACTAACTTGGACTTTAAGGTCGCAGAGGTATACTGCAGTTGGCAGAACGATCAACAGCGGGTCACACCATGAATTCGTAGTGGATCACTCTAGATCTCTTCATTACTCTGGTCTTACTCATCTACCTACCATCTTTTCAGCTGTTAGGCATTATAACCAGCAGGTTTCTTTTAGTTTTCTTCTTTTGGAATTTTTCTGTTATTTCAAATTTTAATTCCGATGGCCTTCAGGGATGTACCATTCTTTAGTAGTGGAAAAATTATCGTTTGGATAGGAAATTGTTGTCATTATCTTTGGCGTCATAGTTTAAGGGCATGTTGCCGATCATTCAACCCCTCAAACTTTTCCCTTCAATAGGGACTATCCGACGAGGAAGACGAAGACAGTAGCCTGATGCAGCCAGTGTTTACTGATTGGCAAACATTGGCTGAACCGGAGCCTTCAACCACCTCGCCGGCTGCCGATCCGCCGCAGTCTCTTCGGTCCTCGCGTGTGGTAAACACGTAAACCACGGATATCTTCCGGTAAGTCATTGCTGTGACGCCAATGCCAAAAAGGAAATGTAATGTTCCCCACTGAGAACTTCTATAATTTGCCTATTTTCGGTTTTTAAGGTCGTATATGTCGTTAGTGGACGAAGAGATCGATCTGATTTCCGACGACGAGGAGGACAGTGGGACCAGTGATGCAAAGGACACAGCCGATACTTCCTCAACACAGTATGTTTAAATGTCCACTTTTATGCTTTTAGTGCATAGGGCAATTCTTAGCGTGCAGTTCATAAAGGAGTTCTTGTGAAAATGATTTCGATTGAAGTTTCAGTCGATAGCGCGATTCGCCGTTGTTTAATTTATATAGAATCGAATATGGACTTGACTTACTGGACATGGACCCGGGGGGTACTCCCATACATTACCTATACGGGTATGTGCCGCCAAAAGGGGTCGTGATTTGGAAGCTCCTGATTTAGAACGGGGTATCCATTTCAGAGGCGTTTTGTAGAACGAGGTATAATATTTCGAACGCATCAAAGCTCCACTTTTGTAAGGAGCCATTTGAAATTATTCAAGGACAGATTGCTTTTAAAAATACGGCTCAATGCGTTAACAAGCAAACCGTTGTACTCTTGCTGCCCCCTAGAACGGAGTATAAAAAATTGGCCCATTTCTAGAACAAGGTATCAGTTTTAGGGCGAATTCTAGAACGGGGTATAAAAAATTGGCCCATTTCTAGAACGGGGTGTCAATTTTAGGGAAAATTTTTCTAGAACGGGGTGCCAATTTGGAGTCCCGGGCGGCACATACCCGCCCAAAAAATACCCAAGTGCCCCCGGGACATAGACCAATCAAACAGTGATTCGATCGTGTTACAAACCTGCTAACATATATATTACCCAATGCCCGGTTCGATTGAACAAATGTTGCTGGAAGAGCTTAGTTCCTTCAATTTGTACGCAGTTAATCGGCTTTCAGCGATTTTACGGGGCTGTTGATTTACCCCAAGTTTGCACAGAATCGCATGACGGTTTGATTTTCGATTCTGCAGTAAATAATGCCGATTCACGCTATCTACTGTACAACTTCAGTCAAGTTTACGAATAACTTCTCTGCGCCCTGCCTGCATAGCCTGTTCCTGGCTCTTGGGTCTGCGAAATTGAGAAAGCGACAAATTTATTTGCGTGCCTTTCGCTTACGCACCATCCCCATTATCTGAGAGCCTGGAACAAGCTGCGCCCTGTGGGAACTGTGTTTTTCCACACGTAGAACAGTAAACTTTGGATCTGTTAATGATTCTTATTATTTTGAATTTCAGTAACAACACTGCAACACTCCCTGAAATACTTCAGGAGCTGCAAGGACAACTGAACCGGGAACATTCATCGCATATAAATGTCCGAAGAAGTGCAATTTGGTCTGATACGTGTCGTCAAATGTCGAGAAAAAAATTCTCTCCCGGCAACAATATTTCGGTTAAGTTCGCGGACAACGTGGGCACTAGCGAGGGTGCCGTAGACGTTGGGGGTCCCAAGAGGGAGTTTCTAAGATTGGCGGTTAGGTCAGCCAATTCAGATTCTGGAGTTTTCATCGGACCAGAAGGATGTAGGATGTTATATCCAAACTCGCTTGGTATGTAGTGTACCCCGGTCCTATGGGCTTTTCTTCCGGCAATTTATTTCCACGTTAGAGAGAACAACTAAAAATGATGAAGATGATAGCCCCCCAACCTCTCCTAGGGAAGTAATTTCATGACGGCTTCATACAGGTTTGAACATGGTGAAAGAGAGAAATATTTATCCCACGATAAATTTTCTTTAACTGTTTCTGTGCGAGGAAAAATCTTATTAAAAAAAATCACCCAAGCCTAGTGGCTCGCAAAAATATTCCTACACTGGCCTAAAAAAATTCATGCGTGTGGGAAATGTTTACGAAAAAACGTTAACGCGGCTCGGTAATTCCCCAACTCTCCCTCAGAAGTTTTGACCTCTTAGTCTTGATTAAGGCAGTTATATATTTACTTTTTTAAAAAAACCTAAGGGAAAGACCACTTAAAGCTAATTTGACTGTAAGTGAAATTACGTATTTATTGGAAAAGAAAGTTTCTCAAGATTTTGTTTCCTCACTAGTGTTATGTTTACGTTCTTAATGTTTTCTATAGCACGTGAAAAAGACGCCTACCGTCTGGTAGGTCTAATTCTGGCTTGGTCGGTGGTCCACGGCGGTCCCGGTGGAAAATTTTTGTGCCCTACATTATACGATTCGTGTATGGGCCAGACGTGACAAATCCGAGTTTAGACGATGTTCCTACCCTACAACTCAAAGAAAAAATTCAAAAGGTAAGCGGTCCATGAAATGTCTTTACGCTTGATTTCTCTGATCACCTGTTGACTTCATCAACGTTTCAATTACGGTCCCATAATAAATAAAAAGGAAACCTTTTTATTTTCGATAATTGAGCCGCCTCGCTAGGGCCTCCGGACAGCATCGTTTTATTCGCGCGATTTCAAATTTATCAAAGAGTGAAATATCAAATGCAGGAATTTCAGGGGCACCCAACGGGAATATAGTTCAAAACCACTTAAACATAGCATTGTTAAACGTATTTTAGTATTTGAAAGGTAGATATTGGGATATTTTTATGCCCTAAAAATTTTCCATCTCTTCGGATTTCGTAGCTGAAAGTCTAGTTACCCGAAAATTATAGGGATCAAAACTTACCTGTTTGAAAATTTCAGCCAGATAAAAGGCTCCCGAAAAATTCTAGGTGATCTTTTTAGGGTAAAAATCCGTTATTAAAGAATGGACAATTATACAATTTTTTAGATGTTCGAAAATCCTAGGAGAGGCAAGCAAGCAAGAAATTAAAAAAAAAAAAATTTCCGAAAATTCTCGATCTCAAATCGTCTTCCGAACAGATATTTTCCGAAAATTGACGTTGGGTATCAGGAGCAAGTTGGGCAACCCCGACACCGAAAGAAACAAAAAAAATGATAATAGTAATAACGGGGAGAAAAGCCAAACATGACAAACAAAACCTCTGAAGGTTTAACAGTTTTTGATAGATTTACTTGCCGGTCATCATTGCACGACTAATGTTGTCAAAGATCGTCTTTCCGCTCATCAATGCTGTGTCTCGAATATCAAATTTGCTTATTAACAATGATAACTATTGTGGTCACTGAGTTGTGGTTGTCACCAAAAGGAGCAAGTTTTAGTCCTTATACTTTTTTCACTAGATAGAGCAGTCTACATCAGTGAAAGAGTTAAAGGAAAGGTTGTATGATGAAGAGATACAGACGATTTTAAGTGACCTTGGTGCAAGCCCAGTACCTTCGAGGATCGAACAGAAGGATTGGTATAAGAAGATTATTCTTCGCCATGTACTTATTGACTCCACAAGGTACCTATTGGAGGAGTTTAAAAAGGGCTTACAAACCTTGGGTGTGCTAGATGCAATGCAGAGACACCCTCAGCAATTTCGAGATGTGTTCACCAATGAAAACGTTAACCAACTTGATGCCCAGTGCGTGGATCTACTTTTTACGGTTCACTTTGCCGAGATGGGATCTAACGCAAGACCAAAACAGGAACTGGCTGTAATCCTCTGGAGGGATTACCTTCAAGATTGTGAAAGTAAGGTTCAAACAATTTTTAGTGCACATGTTCTGGTTCAATTTCATCCATGGTTTAATTTTACGTGATGAAGAATAATTATCCGTGGGATAATAACAATTCTTCTCTATCGAGGTTTTTTTGCGCTATATTCTTGCTATTTTTTGTAGACAGCAGCCCCGATTCTTCTGCCATTTTCCCAAGATCTGTGCAGAAAAACGGGCCGTCTGCACCTTTTCATTACAACTGGCGGGATTGAAGCCAATCAAAGCTGGACAAACATTTACAACCAACACTGAATTGTAAACATGTATATCTCTGAAAAGGTCATCTGTTTATTTTGAATAGTACAGGGCTTTAATACTGTATCAGTTTATATATTTTTTTCTTTTTCAGGCAGGGAGGCCAAAGCAACTCTGGGGGATGTTTTAGCGTTTGCGACTGGTGCTGATGTACCCCCCACTTTGGGTTTTGATACAACACCGACCATCTCCTTTGTAGACGGAGCGTTCCCTACTGCAAATACGTGTTCAGCCACCATCAGATTGCCTACGATCCATGATACCTACGACGATTTTAAAGAGAAAATGGATTTTGCCATACTTAACTCTCCCAGTTTTGGGCAGCCATAGTTAGGCGACAGTGGATGCTTCGACGAACAAGAGTGTGAGCCAGAGCCTATAGGAATAAGTGATTGTAACCAGAAAATAGGCGTTCTCTATATTCCCAGTCAGTTTTTATTTCAGCAGCTAGGAAAAAGGCCATCCCATATATAATTATTTAACAGCATAACTTCTCGTACCGTGTTATGGAAACGTTGCTGTACACATCATTAAACAAACTTTTTCTTTCCAAGTTCAAGTTTTCTTTCAACATTACACTACCTTACTGCAAAAAAAAAAAAAAAAAACAAAACAACAACAAACAAACAAAAACAAATTGTTGGAAAAAGAAAGGTGAATTAAGATGTCAATGAATTGATAACTTTCTCCCCACAAAGTCAACCGTTCGACGGTAGAGTTCTTTACCACAAGTCGAGGTTAACGGATCAACGAGACGTTGTAGCTCTTGGTAATCTGTCTCACCCAAGGGATTTGATGTTGGAGGCACTTGTACGTACGGCAAATTCGTGGAGATGAGCTCATCTACATTTACACCCATCCATGCATCATGTGGGTCCCGGCCGTCTCCAAAGGCTGTTAAATGTAGATTTGTCCAAAAGATCTGGGCCGGAGTGTTATTACTCTCTGTCGAAATCTTGTGATTATTATGAGCAGAAACAAACTCGGCGAGATTCTTGTTCAAGCGCGGTAAGTAGACATAGTGAAGGCAAAATAGGTCGGTCTCATTCAGAGGGTCAAGAATACCCGCCCTTTCGAGGTCATAAAATTCGGACTTGAAAACTGATAGCTCGTGCTCGTTCACTGATCGGTTATGTCGCTCTATCCTCTGATTATGTACCGACGACCCGACAATAACAGACCTTGCATCCTCTCCCCAAGCCAACGTCATATCTCTCCATACCAAAACGTTCTCTCCACCATGGTCACTGCGGATTCGCTGAGGTCTGCCGTACCTACGAACAGCTTCGTTGAAAGAAAGAAGAACAGTTTCTGACTTATTGTTTGTTGAGCAGCGGCAGAAGGTTATGAGGCGGCTAAAACCATCGATACAGTGGTGGATCACAAACCTCCATCTAATTAACTTGTGGTTACCGTCAAGGTGCCACAAATAATTTGGATAGGGGACTGAGTAAACACGTCGACGAATTGCTGGCCTCTTCCTTGTTGTCACAGAGGGATCTAAGTCATGTATAGCCTTTCGTATTTTGCTGCGCTGAACATTAATTCCTTGGGCTCTAAGGTGACCTTGCAGCATAACCTCACCGGCATTGGGATGATTACCCTTGATAGAAGAGACAGCATGCTGATTATCTGCCTCTGAAATATCAGAGTAACGGGTTTCGTGTAGATTGCATTCTGCCATCGCTTTGTACACTGTGGGACGAGATACCCGTAAGTCTTCGGCAATACGGGAAATTGGTATCTTAAGCCTTAGCAACCCTTCTAATCGTTCTTTGGATAATGCCTTTGAAGGTCTTCCTGCTTTCCTAAATTAACAGAGAGTATTTATTAGTTGTCGTGATTAAATCCCTGAAACTACTTACAAGAAATAGCTTACAAATAATTATGGTAATGTGGTCTAGTAACTGCTCTGGTTTTTCTCCGGCCAAGGAGGGGGAAGGTCGTAGATTATCATGCAATATGCAGCTGTCACCCCACGTATAACAGCCAAAAGGTCTTTATCAAATGGTATCATATAATAGTAAAATCCAACTAGTGGTCTATTATCAATGCTGCGTTCTGATTGGTTGAGCTACTACTAGGCTATATGTTATAGCCCACAAGTAGCAAAAAGCGGGGGGTTTTAAAGTTTGTTATTCTCGATATTTTTGAGCAACTAGTTGGATTTTACTAAAACAACTTATTGTCTCAGAGCCCATTCGGGCTCGAGGAATAATTGTTAAATAGTATTGAAACGAAACAAAAGGATGGGTGGCGTTATGATAAGTCCACTTCACATGACTACTATAGTTCGGTTAACTAAGCATAGGCAGGTTGTCGCGGGAGAGCTTCAGCCCTTCACTTTTTTGTGGGGGCACAGAAACATCCCCCTCCTACCCCCTAGGAAGGTTGTCATGTTATGTAGTTTTTGTCCTCGGCACCATTGAAGATTGCATCCGAGGAGTGCAAAATGTTGATGGCGTCTTTAAAAAAGGACAGAGGCCACCTTTTATTGCTTATTGGGAGGGGGGATGGTACGGAAAAAATGGATTGTCCAATTTTAGTTTCACCCCCCACCACTTTTCATTTTGCTCCGCCGCCGCTGCTAACGCAGGTAAAAAATAATTCCCAGGATTGAAACAGTCATCAGTTACAATTTTCTAGGAATAATTTATTCTCTCTTCAAAAATATTTAGGAGATATTCACAATGATAATTTGTCGTAGCGTAGTTAGGAACTTACCGAATTGGAGGCAAGTTAACCGCATTGATTGAACCTGCCTGATTGCAAACCGTAGGTAGTTGGTCCCTGGAAGTTGGCTATAATATTACAAGGAGAAAGAAGAGTAATCAGGCGTCACGTCAATTTATTTAATACGCAATTAATCAATGATAGAGTCAACTTAAACATCGTCGAATGTAACAGCTGATGTAGCAGGCGTATAGATAAAAACTTTATTAAAGTGTCAAAAGCCGTCTAGCCAGGGAAAAAAAAAAGAATCCCTTACTAATTTGCGGACATCAATTAGGGGAGGATATATAAACTAAAAACTATATACAGTAGTAGGTATGAACTCTCGCGTATTCGAAAAACATGCTTCTACACTGACAGGAAAAAAATATCGTAGGTACACTAAGGCCCTGTTGACAAGGAGGGAGGAACAGATCTCGTAGACAAGCTTTGTCGGTTTTTGATATGAATAAAAGTAATGTTTCTTCATCGACTGAATCGATTTGCTGAGTTCCATATATATGTGGCTCATAACAAAGTTCATCAGGCTCTCCTCCCAAGGATCTAAATATAATGCAAGCTCTTTTTCGTCTGTTGTTTGAAGCGTGCAATCTCCTGTTCTTTGATTTTTTTCTCTGCTCCTTTCTCTCTCTGGCTTCAGAAGTTTTAGATTTTGAGCCAATGTGGTAAGCACCCCGGTACTTGTCTAAATCTTGGGTGGGTGGTTGGGGGGTGGGGTGCGACGTTATTTTTAACATAACAGAGCGGGGTTAGAACTAATTTTTTTGTTTTGGAGGGGGGGTACTGTCTAAGTTTTTGCTAGATAACTCTAGTTTTTCAGCCCCCCCCCCCCTCCTGATAATTATTGCACAGTCGCTTATATTGTTCAGATGTTTGTAATTTAGGTCAGAAATTGGTTAATTCTGTTCAAATTGTCAAGGTTGCTGGTCACGCATGACGGGGGAAAGTTGTCCCGGTAGGCGAGTTATCCCTAGCGGAGCGTTTACAGTTAGGGTAACCCTCTTGTTAGTGTAACCTAAGCTGTTAGCACCAGGGTTATGCCCTCCCTCCTTGTAAACAGGGCCTTATCCCGGCTAGTAACCAAATTTTTAGTTCCGCCTGTGGCTCAAGCTATTCCAATGTATGCATGAAAAGGAGCCTCTATGTCCTAAGCAGACACATATGTCAAAAGAATTCAAAGAGGGATTTCTGAAACTAAAGTAGTAAAGGATTTAGATTCGGGTTACTAGCGTTACGAAATCTTCAGCGAAAAAAATGTAATGATTGCGACATTCTGAACGATGTTAAGGACTATACGATCTCGCGGACACTGAAAAAGAAAATAATTATAAATACCTGGGATGAAGCGAATGACGAGGCGCTGGCAGATGCACTGGAATCAATAGAGCTCTACAAATCGAGTATAGGAATATGACCACAATGCAATAATTGAATCTCCCTGGAAGCCGAACTCTTTTTAGAGCGATAAAAGGGATCAATTCGTTAAAATTAAAAAACGGTAGAGGACAGTCTATACCTGATTTAAATCAGCATTGAGGGCCTCAGATATAGCTCTCGAAGCGGCTGCTGACAGTCGTCTTGCAAGATCGTCCGCCATTGTTGAAAACAAGAGATAGTGACTTTGCCGCCAAATTTTTGTTAGAATACGAGCCCGCAGTGCTTGCGGTTTAAATCGCACATATGCCGCGATTTTCATATCGCAGATGTACGATTTATAAATCGCACATTCGAGATTCGTAAAACACACAGTTGAGATTTATAAATTGCACATTTGCTATGTATAAATTGCAAAGTCAGACATCTTGCGATTTATAAATTGCAAAGTCCAGCATCTTGCGATTTATAAATTGCAAAGTCCGACATCTTGCGATTTATAAATTGCAAAGTCCGACATCTTGCGATTTATAAATCGCAAAGTAAAGTATCTTGCAATTTATAAATTACACAGTCAGACACCTTGCGATTTATAAATCGCAAAGTAAAGTATCTTGCGATTTATAAATTGCAAATTTAGAGACTTGTAATTTATAAATCACAAAGTAAGGTAGCTTGCGATTTATGAATCGCAAAGTAAAGTATCTTGCGATTTATAAATTGCAAAGTTTGAAATCTTGCAATTTATAAATCGCTAAGCAGCGAAAAGTCCGATACCTGTGATTAACATATCGCAAATGTCTTGGAAAGCGTTATTTACAAATCGCAAGACAACTGTTGTGCTATTTGCTAAATAGCACAAAAATTAGAAAAATATTGCCTAAATAATATTTTTACATTTGGCGCCCCATAGCACTACACGTCAACCACTTCGTCTTCGCACCTGCTGCGCGAAGTTAGTTACTCCAGTCTAAGCGACCACATGGAACATAGCTCCAGAGGAGATCTACAACTTCTGTAGCCTGCTGTTTCATCGAAACTGCCGGTTTTGTTCTCGGCTTGCCGAAACTGTCCCAGAAGTGCCATCCAAGCACAAGAGGAAGTACTAGATCCTTGTTGCGAACCTTATGCACAGCCTTCACTTTAGCTTTCCTCACTGGATCAAAGAAAGCGTGTGATTGGATGAGCAACGGCTCATAACAAAGTTATTCGCTGCTGCTTTCTCTTGCCCGTGGACTGCAGTTAGTCATCACTTACTTCTGTGTAGACAAGCTTAGCGAGTTGCAAATCTCTCTCGTTGGTGAACTTAGTTCGGCCATTACATTGATTTTGATCAGACGTGTGAGGAATTCACATTCAGCTGAAACCTCTGAAACTGATTCCGGTCATGGACGCGTGACTGGATAAGGTTGTCCACTAAGAAATTGTTTTCAAGAGGAGACTCTATTCAATACAAATGCAATGTAAACATATGATTTATTTACTTACTCTTTTCTGAAACAATTTTCTAAACCTTACATTTCTTCTAGTTATTAAACAAATAGCGAACTGCCGGTCTTATTGAGTGACCAATAACGGGCAATGTTGATGCAATGTTGATTCATAGGCATAGGCATAGGACCTCAGGTAGTTATGATTTAAGCACTATAATAAACGGAAGTCATGTTTTTAGTTCAAATATGTTTTAATTCTACGCTAAAACAACATTTGTTTAAGTTAAAAGAATATAAGCAACTTCTCAGCCTTCCCCAAAATTCAAGATGGCGGCCAAAAGGAGATTATGAGAGACAAATTTAAATTTCGATTTTCAAAGTGAAAGCTACCGTTTTATCTGCTATCATGCATTTTCGTGATGCTTAATAGTCAAAGATTAATATGTGACATGTTTCGGCTGTTCCCCTCGAGTGAGCCATAAACCCAAATTTTCGGCTCTCAGCTGATGGACTAATACTCACGCGTACAGAATCGTAAGTATTCTCGATTCAAAAATTATACTCAACGTGGAATGTGGTGGCGTGCAGAATGACGAAAACACGGAATGGCGAGGGCTGCATAGTACCGTAGACCTTACAAATCAAAAAAAGTTTTGTTTTATTTTTTCCCAAGAAAAAAAAAATGAAAGAAAAACGATTAAGATGTTATTCCCTCTTGATCATTAACACTTAATCCTTCCTCTGACGGTCTCGTTAAAATTGAATGAATGAAAAAAAACATGAATGCGAGAAATGTAGCGTAAATGTAACATACCAAGGAAACCTTTGCTTTTCAGAAATAACCAACTGTGACCAAAACAACAAAAATACATAATTCCATTCAGCTACTGGCCCCGCGGCAGTACTTGAAGGTGCTTTCACAGTTCATACATCAAAGCCTTGACTCCAGAAAACGCTGTCACGTAAACAAACCCCTAGCCTGAAGTGCTCATTTGTTGTCAAAAACTTTCTGGGAAGTTGTAGGAGTAAAATTTTATAGTACCGTTAGATCAATCTTTTTCTATTGACAGTTCAAGAAACTGACGGTTTATTGGTATATGATGTATAGGCATGTATGTCTGACTTACGGAAAACCAATTTCAGTTACAGTGTGTAAATTAAGAGTATACCCGTACTTATCTCAAACGTCGAACTCACAAATACCCTCCAATCTAGCCAATAAAATTCTTGAATATCGTTTAGCGTGATGTTCTACAACAGAGTAATAACTTAATTATCTTTTGGGAGTCTTATTTAAGTAGATTTAATCAACTCTAATTTAATTAACTTGCAACCTGATATGACTTGAAATCGGGACATCTTAAAACCTGCTAAATTTTCTTTTTCAGAAAAGCCGAGGATAAGGGTACCGTTGAAGGAGTTGCGAACTGTACCAGAGCATTATCTCTGGTTTCTGCTGGAAGGTACCCCACCGATTAACTTGACTCTAATGAATACATCAATATCTTTGAAGGGCGGTTTGGTCATAAAAGGATTCCAACTAAATCGGACGGGTACCTTTCAATACACTCTACTGGCAGAAAATGAAGAAGGAAGTGATTCAAAAACGGTTGAAGTAACCGTTGTGGGTAAGGATTCAATACTGTTAAATTTCATTTCAATGTAGATAATTATAGTAGTTTGCACAAACAGTGGTGTTGGATTTTGTTCTAGTTTTATTCGTTGGTGATTCACTTCCATTCGGAGAAAAAAGAAATGCAAGAATAGACTAGTTGCCCTTGTACATGTTGCGCCATTGTTTTGAACACGGGTAATTTGTGTCCATTAAGGTTTGTAAACAAAAAAAGATTTACCAAAAGATACAAAATTTGGGTTTCATCCTTGGTCATTGTGTACACATGAAAGTTGGTTATTGACTTTTAATAATGGATATCGAAGAGTATCGCTTTCTTGAAAAATTCCCCAACAAATTGCCTCATTCAAGCGTCTATTCCTTTTGCAGATTGCAAGCATTTGTGTAACAGTACAGGTTGGATAACACGCTTTGGCCAATTAACCAACGAACACGACTGTAGAAGAAGCAACATAACAAATAACTGGAATTGCATTCCAACTACAACCACTAAATTGTAAGTGTATTTTCTACTCTACCTTAAATTAATTGGCCTATTGTTTTCTTATTTTACAACTTTGAACCCCTATTTATGTTTTGTTGGACTATCAAATGCTCCAAAATGACCCCAAAAGAAATTAAATATTTTCTCACTACTACTATTTTTATTTTCACGAGAAAAGAACGTAGCTTTCTGGTTATGAGCGCTTTTGAAACTGACGATCAACCTGGGACTTTCAAATGAGCGCGTATACAATGCGAAACTTGCCCTTTCATTCACAATGTAACTGAGAAATTACGCATTCATCTTCTTAAACGTTATCTAAAGCTGTGGCACGCTATTGAATAAGATGCACATGGGTCAATCAGTGAGACTACAGGACAAATGTCGAATTCATCAAAACCTGATGCATTGTAGCGCTTTCAACCTTCCGCAGTTTTCTGATTGTTCAAGCCACCGTGAACACATTCAAGGTTTTCTTTTTACACCAAGGAATCACAGAGCTTTGTAAAACCTTCGTCATGTAAATCGCGGGCGCTCAAATTCTCCACAAAATCAATAATAAACGCTGTTCTATCGACTAATCTATTATTTTTTTTTTACACTTTGTCATATTCGCGGTCTCCAATATCATTGCCTTTACACACCCATATGCAAACACATTCTCGAATCCCTTGATTCGATCAAACAAAGGGCTTGCGCTCAAAATGTCTGCTTTTCAATACTTTTAAGGTTCTCGAATTGACTTAAGGCCATGTGGAACACCTATCTATCAGGCAATTTTGCTTGTGCTTCATCTTTCAAAACGCTTATATGTCGGCTCTCTTAGAGGCACTTTAGATATGATTTTGCAGTCGGAGACGTTATGAAATGATGGAAGCTTAAGAGAAATGTTTCTTTTTTTGGTAGATCGCTAGATCGCGCTTTACAGCGATGCTTAAAGTCACAGTTGTCCAAACTAGGAAATCGTGATTTTATGTCCAAGTTTGCCGGAAGAATAGAATACAGCACTGTGTGATTTTATTAGTAGATAACCTGTCTAAACCTCTAGTGTGTCATGTATTGGCCATATTTTGCAATTTACAGTTTGTCAGCAAGATATAGTCGTTTAAATGGGCAAAAACTTTCATCCCTGAAATTATAATTAACGCTCTATTATCTTTTTTATATAAGCGCTCTTTCAAAATTCCGCCCAATACATATAACACACTACAGTCTACCAAGTTTACCCCTCCGAAATGCGAGTTCGTGAAGTTTTGTATACGTATCTGTGCTGAATTCTTGGACTCAAAATTGTCCGAAAATTCTAATTTTGACACGCCCGTAGGTGTCCCGACAAAAGCACGACTACTAAGCATGATATGTAATTTTGGTAATTATATGGTTTCACATTCCGCGTTTTAATATATTTTGGTTTTTGCAATGTTTTCGAGGATTTTTTAGGCGAAAAAAAAAAACGTACAGAGAGTTTTGGTATTAAATTTGATTGCAATTTCTAAAGGTTCCCTCATTTTTATTTCCCTATTATTGAAAATCACACTAAAACAAAGTTTGATTCAGATACCGTTTGTTACTTTTGAATAAACATTTTGTTCGCAGTCTGAGTGTTACTCGTTCACGTGAACATCTTAAATTATGCGCTTATCTTTTTTCCAGTTATGAATATCTCGTAAACCTGTCGATACCAGTCGTTTTACTGCGTGCATACACTTTGAGTAAATGCGTAAAAATGAGCCCACAGGGTCCCCCTATAATGATTTTAATAATCATCACCATTATCATCATCATTATTATTATTATTATTATCATTATTATTATTATTATTATTATTATTACTATCGTCGTTGTCACTAAAATACAGTTATATCCTCTATCTACTAAAATAACTCGAATTGGTAAAAAGGTAGTTAGCCAAAATTGAACATCTCGGATTGTTTAATTTTGTTGGTTCTTTAATTTGTTCTTGTAAGATCCATGTGGTATTTACATTGGCAAGCAGTTAATCAATTCAGATCTTCGATAGAATATTTTTTGCTCGGGCAGTTTGCATGATGCGGTTGACTTACTTCACTTTAACTTTGCTCCAGGGATTTATCTTCAAGCAAGATCGAGAAGCTCCCGCCAGGAATATTCGCCAATCTTTATTTCATGGAAATGCTGTAAGATACCCCGTGTTTCGGTTATTTTATTATTTGAGGATAGGATAGTATACAGCTATCCCCCGGAAGGGCAGGTTACAGTGGTGGATGACGGAAGGCGTCTCTTAGGGGGATCGTTCTTTACATATTTAACGAATCAGTTAATTTTGTAAATATTAGACATTACTTAGTATTAAGTGCTTTATTTTCGTTTTAATTGACAGTGGTTCCGGGGATCTCTTTGCTGCAAATTCTGCCAGAAAATGATTTTCTACCTAAAAGTAGAAAGGGGCATAAGCCAAACTTGTCTCTTTCTTGTACTTTATTTGCCGCTAAAATTTCTTCTTCGGAAAATGTGGCAAAAAAAGACGGCCGTAGCATGAATATTTCTTAGGGTTAATTGGCGTGCATGAAATATTTTCATTTACTTTTCCCTTGCGCGAATATTTTGTTTGTACCCCCCCCCCTTCCCCCCCCATAAGTTTTCTAATGGTCCGTCCCTTAAAACAGGTACCTCAAAACAGGTACGGTACTTATTTGGTACATATCAAGTTTCTTATACTCAAATGTCACTCTCCTGGGTATTAGGATCGAGACTTTCGATGGCAGCCTGATAAGACAATGGGAGGTTAATTCTATTCACCAACTGTTTTTTTCCGTAGTTTGTCAGTTACTCTCGGGTCCAAGCACATTTTAGCTACATTTTGTGACAATGATGTGGCGAGAAGTAATTACTTTCTAAACACAAATTGCAATACGTTTTTGTTTTATTTTTTTTGTAATAATACTAGTTTCGCTAAGGCAAACTCTATGAGTCGGGCACGAGAAATATCGACTAGCTCTTTTCCACGAAGCAAAATTTTAAAGAACCGTTTAGGGGATTCTCACAGACCCCCGTATAGACAGCAGCTATGTTTATTCTGTAGAGTACATAATAAGCAATCAGTTGAAGGGGAAACCGTTCTTTCGGAAAGTCAATTCAGATAATAAACGGGAAGATAGGGAAGGTAATAACATTTTTTCAATGCACAAAATTTCGTTTAACCTCGTTTGAGGGGTATTCCTTTGGTTGAATGCGTCATGCTCATATATACATAAATGCATGTACATAATGCGTTTCGATAAGAATTAGGAATATTATTCAAAGTTATTAAGACATTTGCTATATGCACATAAGTGACATATAAATATCAGTTTTTTAACACGCTGAGTGCTATATATATCGATTTAAAATAGTTAGATTAGGAGGCTTCTTGTTTCCATGGTGTTAGAGAGAAGAGAAGTAGATGAAAGAAAGTTTCATCGTCTCTCCTTAAGTAGTTGCAGATGCAGGCGCACGGAGGAGCACTAGCAAAGTCCCATGGGTAAGAAATCTTGCTAAACCAACGGTAAAAGAGACTTAGGTTTGTGACATCAAAGTACGTACACACTTTCGTGAAGACCTTTGGGAGGGGTAGAGAAGTCTTGACGGGCTTTGGAAACTTTACTACGTGGCAAATCGCATGGCTTAAACGTCATTTTGGGAAAACCGCGTTTTTTTATGGAAGGGAGATTAATGCACTCGCTACAACTACCGGTGAAGGAAGAGTTTTTGCTCTTTTAAGTACCTTCTCCTGTCTACAAACCCTTGTCAGTTAGAATAAACGAAACGTTGATGCCTTCAAGGTTTTTGATGTAGTTCTTTTTTGTATCACGAGAGTGAGTTAGTCAATATCACCATCTTGGATATTTTCACAAAAAGTTTTATCACACAAACCAGGTTGCTATACGTGCCCTAACTTCTCCCTCTTTCCCTTATTTTGAATCCTAAAATAAAACAGAACAAATAATGTTAATAGTCATAGTTGACGCATCAGCTGTCCCAGCCCCGCTCTGTATGTTGTCAGTCAATTGTATTTTTAGTCTTTGTCAGGGGTAGCTCTTTGAAATATATCGATTCATATTAAAGGTTTTCACACATACTCCGTACAATAGAAGAGATAAAAACAGGAAACGCAAGATTTCACGCGCTGACTCAGGTCGATTTACGTAGCTTTGAACTAAACATTCTCAGTTTCCTTAATATTTACTACAAGAAAAGATTTGATTAGACTAGGGGTGATTTTTAGCTATTTCTCTTGCACTTTTTACTTACAGTTCATTTTATTAGCCGGGAAGTAAGCCTTGGAATTTAAAAAGCTTCGACCAATTCATGCTCGCGCGTTCTAATCATTTTTTTTTAACTGTTTAAAGACCATACTTCAAAAGAAACTTTACAGAAAGACATCTGTGAGCAGTTAATACGTTAGTACAGAAATTAATTGTGGGCGAATTTCGGTAATCGACCATCGTTCTGCTAGTGATAAGCTAGGCGTTAATTTACTGTTTTGCATAGGGAAACTTGTTTGTGGAGTAAGTTTTATTCCCCCAAAGAGATTTGTGTCTGGCAAATCTTTTCCAGTGAAAGATTAGTGAATGACAAACTCGTGTCTACTTATGTAACGCTTAACGAGGGTTTTTTGGTCCATAATTTTCAAAGTGAAAAAGTGTCGAAGTATGACTACCCAACGATTCCATGTTGCCCCTGATTAAGGAAATCACGGTGTGATTTTTCTGGTATGCTGACTGTATATTTCAACTTTGACCCTTTCCTATACATACGCTCGAGCTACTAGGATGCCTCCTCGGGTAGGAGTTTTATGTTACACCGGGTGTTAGATGGGTGCATGAAGTTTCTAATTCAAAACATAAATTTCATCCAGCAAAATAAAGGAAAGTAAAAGATAAGCTTCGCTGTAACAAATGTTTTTATTGCAGAAACTAGGTAAGCGAGTTCATTGTTACAATTAAAAAGCCAGAATGGCAGTCCACATCCTAACGGGGTATTTGTCTGGATCTGTTC